CTGCATTGAATCATATCTGTTATTAACCTCTGTCTCTCTTCCACAGCATGTCTTTATCCTGTCTTCCTTCTCTCACCCCAACCAATCACAGCAGATGGCCCCGCCCCTCCCTGAGCCTGGTTCTGCTGGAGGTTTCTTCCTGTTAAAAGGGAGTTTTTCCTTCCTAAAGTGCTGCTCACAGGGGGTCATATGATTGTTGGGGTTTCCTCTGTATCTATGAAGCGCCTTGAGGCGACTTTTGTTGTGATTTGGCGCTATATAAATAAAATTGAATTGAATTGAATTGAAAGGTTAACGGGAAGAATACCTGAAAGGAGCGTCGAGCTGCTGCGCAAACAGACGTCTGCGCTCCTTCAGTGATCAAAGACTCAGCAGATCATAAAGGATTCAGCTTCACAGCAGTCCTCAATAAATCAGCCACAGCCTGCACACTTGATTTATTATTAAGCTGGAGTTATGATTATTTTATTGATTGTGTGTTTATTTTGATTTAGCCTGAGATGTTCAGTCATCCAAAGTCAGTGCCAGGGGCAGAAACTGCTGGCTCAGCATTCACAGAGTCGCCTCACAGCTCAGCAGCAGCGACAGCGTTTTCATTAATATCACTCACGTCCACAGAAACCAGAACCAGTGCAGCTTATTGGCAGTTTCATCACCGTCTGACCTCAACGACACCTTCAGATCTGGTTTTCCAGCAAACGTTTGATGTGTTTTCAGCATCAGACCTTCCAGAGTCGTCCTGCTGTGACGCTCACACAGACTTCAGCTTTTCCAGGCTCCACGGTTAGAATCACAAATCAAAACCAAAGTAAAAAACAGGTTTTTAGTGTCTTCACTGAGTCCGTCAGGAGCTGACAGCAAGGACCAGGCCAGGTCACTGCTAACACTTATTAACAGGACTAAGAGCAGAATTCCTAATTAACCGCTTAAGCCCCAACGCCCCTGATACGGGGGCAAAAGGTCAGGTAGGTTTGGGGCTTAAGAGGTTAATGGAATTTCATTTTATTTAACTTACAGTGTTTTCCTGTAAATACACGAGAATCAGGAGGAAATAATCCCACCGTCAGGAATTAGAAGTGGTTTGAATTTAAAGGTGATGTTGCAGAAGAAGATTGTCTCATCGTACATCGTAAACACTCGTCAGCCACATCGTGGCGTGCACGAGTCCTTATCTTATAATAAATATGTTGACGTGCACGATGGGTGCTGTATTATTCAGCCGACCTTTACCGCTCTCTCTTTTAATGCTCGACCCAAATCAAATGATTAGTTCTTCTTTCACAATCGCTTTGAAAGGAACGCCTCACTTCCTGTAAAACACCTGGAAGTTAAAGTTAGGCCCCCCCACAGTGTGGCTCCGCCCTGCAGACAACACTGTTTTCATTTCTATATGTTTAAATTCCAAAGATGACGAACCGTCTTCAGACTGAAGGACGTTTGGATGGAAATCTCATCATTAGTGAAGCGATGTTGGGCCGTCGACAGATAACGATGGCGGGTGGCTACGGAGCTGTGGAGCACAGGAGAGCTGGAGGATGATGGTTAAGGTGTTTTCATGTTGACGCTCCCTAACGCACAGAAACGCCACCAAACGGCAGAAAGAGGACAGCGAGAGCACGTCTGAGATGGTTGATGAAGATGGTCCTCAGCTCCGGGTCCACGCCCACCTTCAGGTATTCGGGTATTTTGTAAGCTGAGCTGTGCGTGAACAGAGCCGATAAACCCGTCAGCACCATCATCATGTTCTCTGTGAGTGAAGGCGGGTCTGACTCTAAGCTGCTGTTATTTATGATTTCGCTCTGGCTTTACAGCTCTATTGATTTTCTTATTTCAGCATCAGTTGCTGAGAAACTGTTTATTTACCGCGCACGCCGCCCACTCACACCCAGGGTTATTTCATATGTTGGTTTGTGACGCGTTTCATTTTCCCAGCCGCAGGCTGACACGACGGAAGGGACCTGCAGGGACGGGGGGAAGCATTCGTTAGAAGTTATTCTAACGTGTTGACACGACACCGAGTTTGGCGTCTGTGGCGCTGCCGTCAGACGCGGCGCTGCCGGTAAACTCAGAGCGACTCCACCAGGTTTGTTTGCTAAATGAGTCACGGTGGAGTCAGCGGGAGGGAAAAGGAGGCGTATAAAAGCAACTCCAGCACTCCAGGTGGCTGAGAGGGAACTATTTGCTCAGGCTGCACACACACACACACACACACACACACACACACACACACACACACACACACACCGACATCCCGTACTACATTTAGGTCAGGAGCAGAACGAGACAGTCAATGGCAGAACAAATGGAGCGTCTGCTTCCTGGATTACAGCTCCTGGGAATCTCATCGGACTAAAAAAAGTCCGGGAAGCACAAGGACACGAACGTCACTACACGTACGAGTCTACATGTGATCGCAGAAAGCAACCAATGCTTCAGGAGCAACGCGCTTTAATATTCACATTTACAAAAGCCAGAAATCTGAACCTGGACTTGATCTTGACCCATTTTCAGGTTTCAGAGTCAGCTGATGTCCTTCAGCAGCTTTGCATGATTCACAGTTCAAAGTAATCCTTCTTTATCTCATGAGCCTCAGTGCAGCAGTTGTAACTCCTCCCCTCTCTAAGACAATGTTCTTCTGATTGGCTGTGAACATCCAGCACTGGAGCAGGAGATATGCGACTGCAATGAGTGAAAGGCATCTTTATTAAAACTGCACATGTCACAGAGACGAGAGGAAAAACCCACCGGTGTTTAGAGAGCTCATCTTCCACAGTATAAGGAATAATAACGCTGTTTTAATAAAAGCATCACACTGAGGACGGCACTGATCAGCCACGCCTTAAAGCAGACCATCTCCTGCTACTGTTGTTCTTCCTGTTGACCAAAGCACGTCATGAATCGAGCTCGTGCACCGAGGTGTTAATCATAATGTCTGCTAAAGGCTACACGTGCCTCAATATTCAGACTGCAAACGTACAATCAGCCACAGGATGGACGGCTGTTCATATTCTGATCTAGTGCAACATTAACTGCTGGTTATGACAGAAACACATCACAGAACGAGCGCTCGACGTTTCTCCGACCCGACGCGCCCGAGAAGACGATCTTTACTCAGCCGTTGGTCAAATTTGAATCAGGTTTTCATTTTCAGGAGCTCCTTTAAAATACTGACAAAGTCATCGGTAACGAGGTTGATTGTTTCTCAGTGTGTTGAAACCAGCCGTGACTTGGGGCTGACCTTTAACCCTGTCCCGCTCTCTGGTCCTGCCTCACTCAAACCGGAGGATAATTTCCTAAATTAATATGATGTTGACTTGAAAAGACTCGAAAGCAGCGACTGAGACCATAAACTGATCAGGAGAGCGCTCACTGAAGCCAGCCGCCCCCTGCTGGCCATTACAGAGGATGTCCATCTGTTAATAAGCTCTGCTATGTTCTCAGAAAGGGTTTGATGAGCACGATGAAGAGTTCGAGGAAGCTTTCTAATTGGACTTCCCAGAAATCCAACCAGGCAGGTGGGATGTGCAGGAAAAACAAGTCCCGTCCACGGAGGCGTCACGTCGCAGCTGCTACCATCGTCGGTGTGCGATACCACGGAGCACCTGCAGATGTTTGTGGAGTCCTCAGAGGTGTTTCAGCAGCACGATGGGGTCGCACACAAAGCATTAATAACTGTGCTGATTCACACAGAGAGGAGCCCTGTGAGGACACAAGGGTCTGACACGAGCTTTAGCGCGATGTCTGCGTTCTTCTTCCAAAGAATCAAAGTGCATCGTGCCAGAGTCTGAAGACCAGGCGTGCTCGCCTCTGACAGAGCGACCTGCGGTAAATCGATGCAGCTGTAGAGAAAATGATGTGAGGTTGACGCTGTGTGTGAGTTTAGGACAGGTGGGTTGCACCGCACTCATTTTCCACCTTTGACTGTAAGTTACTGAACCAAAGTGATGGATGATGTCATTACTTTTATCATCATCCTCTCAGCTCACTCTGCCCTTTTCCTGCCCCTCCTTCCTCTCACCGAGTCATTCTTCTATGACCTTTGGGTTGATGCAGGACACACACACACACACAGATTGAGTATTGGGCTTTGACTGACCCCGATAAACTTCATAATGCTTCATTATCTCTGCAGAAAAATTTACTGCCCACAGCCCTGATGGACGACTAAATCTTTGTCACGTTTCTAAAGCGGAAATTTCAAAACTCATCTGACAAAAGCCGCCGGGACACATTCAGCCTCAGAGGTCTGCTTATCGTCACATCAAGCATCATGAGGGCCCCACGGGCAGAGTCATAATCTGGGTCCCAGTAAACCCAAAAAACGGCCCTCAAGTCCTGTTACTAAGCAATAATATCAGTCGACAGCACCGATGACGGCGTTTATGTGGACCACAGATTCCCACTGGGCCACACGGGCTTATTTACTCAAAACCACAGACGGTATCAAAGATGTCACGAAGCCTGAGAGTGCAGCGAGCGCGGGCTGGATGGTCCTTATTTCTAATGTTTTACTCAGTGTGACGCAAAGTGTCGCACTTCTAAAGGAGCAGAAATCTTGTTGCTGTCGCCCCCTGGTGCTCATTAAGAATAATGCAGGACTTTCATCGTTCATGCTTTTTATGCTGGATGTGTTTGTGTGTTCAGCATAAATGTCAAATCTTTGTCAAAATCCTTCACATAGAAATGATCCCACCAGCTGCAGGGTCTCAGTGTTGAAGATTACATTGCACTGCATGCTGCAGATTTAAGGTGGATTATTAATTATTAATGCAGCTCATTCATTTACATCAAAACTAAAGAGTTTCCAGAAAATTTGCATTTGATTCCAGCCTTATCTTTAAAAATCATAGTCTTAGACTGTGTGTGTGTGTGCGTCACCTGTCCATCAGCGCTGAATGCGAGGCAGGCGATGCCGTGTGTGTGTCCGTCACGCAGCAGTGACACGGTCTGGGCGGTGAAGGTGTCCCACACGCACACATACGGATCCTTGCCCACCTGACCCGTCGCCACCAGGGAGCGCTCCGGGTGCAGCGCCAGGCTGAAGGGAGGAAAGAGGCGGAGACGTTAGAAAGGACGGAGGGGAGGAGACAGGTAATAACACAGACGACCAATCAGAGAACATATGGCTATAAGGTATACGCAGGAGTAAAGGAGCACTCAAAACTTTACTCAGGCAAACAAAGAGCTGCTTTAAGACTACAACACACGCACGAACATCACAGCAGTGACTGTGGCAGCGTTTTTACATCATTTTAAAGATTTAATGTTGGAACCGATTCGTCACTCGCAGCTTTACGGGATGGATTTGGTGTCACACAGTGGTAGAAGTGATGAATCATCATAAACATGTAGAAATAAACTTTTTAATGAATGTTAGAGTGAAATGTTAAATGCTGTCGTTGTTGTGCTTAAATCTGTAAACCTTGTTTTAACCTGTATGTTTAGAGATTTTTCTGTTCCCCACATCGAGGGTAACAGCACACTGCATGTAAGCTTCTGGTCCTTATTTAGGGAGGATGTTTTACTTCCTGCCCTTTATGGCCTCACCTGTGCTTCTGTGTGGTGAGACTGTTAAAAAGGGGTTGAGTCATATGCAGGGTGAGGGGAGGTGACCCTTTGCGATCAGCAGGAAGTCACACAAAAACACCCACATGCACACACACACACTGCTGCTCTGAGGATCTGACCAGGCTCCCCTTGCTAGCAAGTTGAGCTGTTTGTCTTTCTTTCTTCACGGGTGATGAGTCTTTGAACCAGCGAGGCCTGCGAGGCGCAGACCCAACAATGATCTCAACGTCTTCCAACAGCGTTGCCTTCGACGGCTGCTCAAGATCACATATCGGGATCGCGTTACTAACGAGGAAGCCGCTCCACGTCCAAGTCACCAAGCGCCGGTTCAGATTCGCCGCTCACATCCTTCGGCTACCGGACCCGAGACCCGCCCGTGTCGCGGTTCTGTGGAACCCGAGGAATGGAAAGAGACGGCGAGGAAGACCCAAAATAACTTGGAGGAGTACGTTCCTTGAAGATTTACGCTCGGCCAAGCTGTCATGGGATGAAGCAGCAACTGCCGCGATGGACCGAGTTCGATGGCGTTCTCTTGTCGCCCGATGCGCCGATCGGCGCGGGAGGATCGTTCTTCGTCTCCCGTTCAGAGGGTCAATGTTCTCCTTTGCAGACAGCGCTATAAATACACCTGCTGCTTTAATGGCATCATTATCAGCACACACACACACACACACACAGTCTCATGCTCTGTTATTGTTGTAAAGGTCGTGTTTCGTGACCTTCGCCGAGTCTCCTCACTGTGACCTCACAGACACCAGTTTATTTTCTGTCTCCTGTTGGACAGTTTTGTCCGTCCTCTCAGATCCGGTGTGTGACACTCATGGATCCATTTTGCTGCTGCTGTCAGCCAATCAGCACAGTGAGGCGGGTTGGGCAGTTTTAGCCTGCTGGGATGGAGACGGCACGCGATCCCACAGGAGCTGGAAAACATGGCTGGATAAATGTGGGAACACCGTCCTTATCCTGCTGTCAGTAAGAGGAAAACTGGATTTCTGAGGGGAGGCTTGTTTCAGTCTGATAAAAAGAAGGCTTATTTTGAACTGTGATGGTAAGATAGAGCTGAACATGAGCACAATATTTGTTTCAGCTGTAAAAGTTGAACATTTAATTGTTGACGCTCCTTTTTACCCAGCCTCAGCTCCCGGGGTCGATGGGTCAAAATAAACTGCTCCCATTTCTGGTGCGTTTACATTTTTATGAAATCAGGATGTTATTGTGTCTCCGTGTGCTGGTTCAGAGGATAAACATGAGCATCTGGAGGAACAGCAATAACAATAATAGTACGAACAGATTTACTCACAGGGGCTGATGTTCAACCAGCACGCTCACTGCACTGTGGTACCTGTAGCTTAACCTGAGACCTGTGTGTGTGTGTGTGTGTGTGTGTGTGTGTGTGTGTGTGTGTGTGTGTGTGTGTGGGAAAGGTCAGTGCATGCAGAGGTGTGTGACACACGGAGCAGCCGTGTATGAAATAATAGAAGCAGAAATAGAACAGGTGTGTCGGCCACGAAGCTCCATTGATCTCAGAGATGGTATCTCTCTCCACACACACACACACACACACACACACACACACACACACACACACACACACACACACACACACACACACACACACAAGCTCAGACGTTCCTTCTCAACCTGCCAGCCAATGAGCCTGCAAGCTGCCGCGGTTGCTATAACAACCGTATTGCCAAGGGCAGGGAAGCTGAGGTCTGAGCATGACAACTGTGGAGCCAAGGTCACACACACACACACACACACACACACACCTGAACACCCGTCTCTACTGGATGATACCCGACAACTTCCAGACGTCTTCTTCTTTGGTTTTTTGTCGTATTTATACTCTACTCTTTATCTCACTGACATTTGATAAAACCGAGCGTGTGTGTGTGTGTGTGTGTGTGTGTGTGTGTGTGTGTGTACAGCTACAGAGTTTATACTGGTAAATGGTAAATGGCCTGCATTTGTATAGCGCTTTTCTAGTCCTTAAGGACCCCAAAGCGCTTCACACTACATTCAGTCATTCACCCATTCACACACACATTCACACACTGGCGATAGCAAGCTACATTGTAGCCACAGCTGCCCTGGGGCGCACTGACAGAGGCAAGTAGAATTCATTTCTACTGAGTAGAAATGAATTCTCTCTCACATCCTTTCACACCCATGAGTCTGAACAGAAGGTCAAAGAAGGCTGTTATGGGCCGGATGACTAATTTACAAAGTATTAGAGAAAAGCAGGCTGGTCTAAAAATAAGAAAATCACCACATAAATGTGCAGCACTCACAGACGGGGGAATATCCTTCACTGTCATGTGAAACCTCCAATCAGAGCCACAGAGCGACACAAGCTTCAGATGTAAACAATGATGCCAGGGTTAATGTTCCTTAAAGGTACAGTCAGCTTGTTTTTAGTTAAAGTAACATGGTTAGCACGCAGCACGCTGGGACTGAGTTAAACAGCAGCACACACACGCCGACCTCTGACCTGGAACCTAAAACCACACACACAGGCTCACAGGACTGTCTCCAGGTTTGTCTACAGACTCTTAATGAAAGATGAGCATCGTTAAAACTAAAACTGGGCTTTGTGACGACTTGTTTCTGTGTTTCCGTGTCTGCAGTGTAGGGCTGCCACAAACAATTATTTTGATAGTCGACTAATCAGATCATCATCCATTGGATGTAAAATGTACAGCTTATCCGGTCGTTAAGTGATGACGTGAGTGAATCCTACTTCCGGGCCTAAAGTAGTCTGCGTTTAATATGGCTTTTGT